GGTGGGGGTTCTCCGCTCCACTGCGATCTCACTCCCCAACCTCCGATAACGAGATATTGAAAATGCCCCTCCTTTTCCTCCTTCTTCCCCGTCCGTCCTCCTCCTCCTCCTCGGGGGAGTACCTATACAACCACCCTTCGAATGAGAAGGAGGTTGGGGGCAAGGGGGATGGAATCAACTCGGCAAATGCGATGGGTGTGGTGATGACGATGCTAGTGACGAGCCCCCGAGTTAGCGACGACGCGTGATGACGATGTTGCGCTGCAATGTAATGTCGCTATCGTTCTCACTATAGATCTCGCTTTCGATCTCACTATCGATGTTCTTATCGATTCCTCTATCAATCTCACCGTGTGATCTCACGATCACTCTCACAGCCAATGTCACAATCAACCTCACTGCCGATCTCACCTCTGATCTCATTATCCATCCCACCCCAGCGATCTCATTATCGATCTCTGGACCCCTTCCCCAGGCAATGCTCGTAGTTGTTCGACGTTCCCGGGGCCTGGCAAGGGCCATGTGGCCCTTGCCGGGCCAAATGGCCCTGGATATGCGGCTGTTTTCGGCCTCTGGATATCCAGAAACCGAAAAAAGCTGGATATCCCAAAGCCGAAAATAGCCAGCCGGGGAACCGTTTTGCTGTTGTTGCTGCTGTTTTGGGCCTCTGGATATCCAGATGCCGAAAGCCGCAGCAACGACAACAAAACGATTCCCCAAAGGGCGGGGCCCCCCTCCCAAGGGGAACGGCCTGTAGCTGTTTGACGGCCCCGGGGCCCGGCAAGGGCCCTCCAGAGACCGAAAACAGCAGCAGCAACAACAACAACATAACGACTCCCTCAGAGGGCTGGGCCCCCCCCCCCCCCCCCCCCCCCCCCCCCGGGGGTAAGGGGTAACGGCTTGTAGTTTTTTGTTAGTTGCCTCCTCCTCGTTCCTCGCTCTTCGCTCCTCGCTCCTCCCCCTCATCCTCCTCCTCCTCCTCCTCCTCCGCCTCCTTCTGCGATCCTTCTGCGATCTGAGGTGCATCCCGCTAGCACGCTAGCAACATACAGCTCAAGGTCCTCCTCCTCATTCTCCTCCTCCCTCCCTCTCCTCCTCCTCCTCCTCCTCCTCCTCCAGAGGCTGAAAACAGCAGCAGAAACAACAAGACACGGCCTCTAAGCACTTCTCGCGACGGGATGCAGCCTGGCTTTTTCGGGCCCGGCCGTTCGGGCCGATGCGCTCGCCCCCGGGCCGCCCTCGGCGAGGCGCAGCTGCTGAAGAGCGCGCGGCAGTGAGCCCACGAAGGCGTCCAACAACATGTGTCTCGCATGCTTTCACGAACACGAAGCCTCTCGAACTCGCAGTTTCCGCAGACGCGAGACACGTGCGGCGCGCACAACAAGGGGCGGGGTGCGCGAGGGAGGCTGTCTTCCACGAGGGCAGGGGGGGGCTAACCTACCATACTGCCCCAATTCGGCCCGAAGACCCGCATTTCGGGTTGGGGGGGGGGGGGGTACGGGCTTCACCTGTGTTGTTTGAACGTTCCCCGCGCCCCCCCCCTTCCCCTGGGAATGGAGGGCACATTGGGGGCCTTCGGGTTGGGTTGGGGTGGCTTGGTGGGTGGTGAGGGGGTTCTAAGACGGCAGGTGGCTTCGCACTGCGCCACCGGACCTCCAGGCCTCGAACAAAAAAAAAAGCGAGCACGCATGCCACGTTCATCGGTAAACGCCTCCCCCTCCCCCCCAAGGTTCAAAGGTGGCGGTGGGCCTGACGAGCTGCACTCCCGCGGCAGCCTCCCCTGCGCGTGCCGACCTTGACTTTGGGGGAGCGGGGGGGGGTCCACGGATTGTTTCCCCCCACCGTCGCACCCCCGCGCCCCGCGATGAGCGGGGTCCGTTCCGCGCCCCCGCGCGCCACCCCCTCCCCGAGGAGAAGGGCGGCCGCTCTCGGGCCAGACCGCGGCGCAGGAGGTGCGCCACTCTCTTTTTCTCTCTCTCTCTCTCTCTCTCTTCGCGCCTCCGAGGGCGGCCAGCTCTGCAGGCTTGCCATCGGGCTGCTGACATGCACGAGGAGCTCGACCACAGGAAACCTTCCACAAGAAAACCCGACCCTGAGACCCCAGGACCTTGATTTTGGGTGTGGGAGCGTCGCGTTTTCCATAGCAACTCCATCGAAGCCCAAGAAACCCAGGGCACCCTGGAGGCAAGCAGGGTGTTTCTTGGCATGGGTCTCCACTGTAAGGAACGCCACATGAGGAGCGACAAGCCCCTTCTCGGCGCGACGAAAGGTAGCCTGGGTGCACGAGAAGAGCTGAGGAGGAACGGCCACGGAAGGACCCAGGGAACAGCGAGCCCCTTCCGAATCCGAAGCGGTCCTCCTTCCAACGTCCTGGCTGCACAAGACCCAGACATCTGGCCGCTCCAGTTTTTGTCGATGCATGGGCCCCAGAAGCCTGGACCACTCCCCTATAGGGCCAGTGTTTCGTCCCGACTCGTTGTTTGACTCATTGACGGCCCCGAGGCCCGGCGCGGGCTCCCAGAGGCCGAAGACAGCCTCAGACAGGCCGCTCCGATTTTTCTGGAGCGTCGGATCTCTGGGCTTCTTCCAGCGTCTTGGCTGCACAATGGGCCTTCTCCAGAAGCCTTCGGGCCCTTCTGAGGGGCACCGCCTTCTTCGGGGAAGCCAAAAGGCACCGATACCGCCACACCCCGGGCCTCTCCCGGGGGTGCGTTCTGACCAGGATTTCGAGGCGACTCCAGCGGTGGCGATGAGGGCCTCCCAGGCGGCCCAAGAAGGGGAAAACGAGGGAAGGGTAGCGGTACGGGTACCAGTCGTTCATTTCTAATCGTGCTCATTTCTAATTGTGCTCCTTTCTAATTGTTCCTGGCCCCCTAGTGGCCAGGAAGAGGCCCAGGATAGAACAATTAGAAATGAAAGGATCTTGGCCCCCCAAAAAACAAAGAACTTTCGAAGACATAGACATGAACACTGTGTACCCTTTCTTCCTCTGATTTTCCAGCGCCTAGGCTGTACAAGAGGCCGTCTTCAGAAGCCTTCGTCGGGCCCTTCTGAGGAGGCCTCCGCCCTTCTCGGAAGACTCCCCGCCGTTTCTTGGAAGGTATGGCCCCTCTTCGAGCCACCCCCTGGTGCGCGTTGCTGGGGGAGGAGGAGGAGGAGGAGGAGGAGGAGGAGGAGGAGGAGGAGGAGGAGGAGGAAGAAGAGAAGGAGGAGGAGAAGGAGGAGGAGGAGGAGGAGGAGGGGTCAGCAGGATGAGAAGGAAAAAAGTTTCAGGAGGAGGAGGAGGAGGATCCAGCAGGAGGGGGAGTTGGGAGTAGGAGGAGGAGGAGGAGGAGGAGGAGGAACAAGTTCAGGAGGAGGTGGAGGTCCAGCAGAACGAGAATGAGGAAGTTCACGAGGAGGAGGAGGAGGAGGAGGAGGAGGAGGAGGAGGAGGAGGAGGAGGAGGAGGAGGAGGGGGAGGCGAAGGCGGATGCCTTCCCGCGCTCGTCCGGGAAGAAGCGCCAGATCGCCTCGGCGCTGCCGCGCGTGAGCACGGCGCAGACCACGTAGGTCTCGGCGCGAACCCAGGCGGTGCGGGGGCACCCGCGCCTGATGAGCGTGATCTCGCCGAAGTACTCGCCGCCGCCCCTCCTCTGGGGGAGACGTAGGATGGTGCGACGTCGGCGCGCGCAAAGATCTTTTTTGACACCACGTCGATCGTTCAAGTTCAAGCTCGAATCGATCGCGGCCCCGATCGTTCAAGGCTGAATTCTGTCGGGCCCTGTGGCGTTATACCGTCTCCCTCGGCGAGCGCGCGCGCACGGGCGCAGAGCAGAGCTCATCAACCTGAAAACCGCCTGCGCCAACGTCGCTGGCGCGGCAACGCCGCATGAACAGACCGTAGATGGCGGCACCTGCCAGTGCCATTAGCTCTAGGTCGGGCATGTCCTCCTGCAGGCGTGCTGGACGGAAAACTAAATGGAGCCAGAACATATTCAAAAATAGCCCAAAATAGTCAAACATCGAGCCCTGATGATTCTTGAACTGATTTTGGATATTCCGCGTGTAGGGGGACATACCCGACTTAAACGTACCGTAGATGGCGAGCTGCTGCCGGCGCTGTGCAAGGCGAGACCACGGGGCGCCTGAGGGAGCCCCTGGGAAGAAGCCCAGGGACACACAAACAAATAAACACCAAAAAACAAGGATCCCCCATACTTTTCAATATTTTGTGAAGTTTCGTCTTCCCCCCCACTCCCCATATATTCCAATACGTTCCTGGGCATCGACGATTATATTGTGTCTGTTTGATTTTGTTCCCCTCCCGCCCCTGATGGTCCACTCTGGGACCTGGAGCCCCTCGGCCCCGAGGCCGCTCTCGCCGAAGTAAGTACTCGCCGGCGCGCCTCTTTGAGCCCGTGTGTTCCTATGATCGCGACCACGCCCGTCCCTGAGACCCTGGCGTCCCAGACATGCTCGCGTCGTAAAAAAATCAGGACGGAAGTTGTTCGCCGTCTTCGGTCTCTGGAGGCCCTCGCCGGGCCGCGGGACCGTCAAAAAACTACTCAAGATGAAAACTGGTCCCGGGTAAATCAGGATGAAAACGACCGCGCATTGAAAAAATCAGGACGTCGCAAGTCTGGGGTTGCATTTTTCCACACCGGGCGTTTTCGCTCCATTTCGGGCCCCGGGGCCCTCACATATCGATCCGTCTCGCCAAAAAACGCAGGAAGATGGGATCCAGGGCTGCGGGCGCGATTTTTTGCGATGATGTATTTTTTTTTCCGACGTCGGATCTCAAGGGTGACCGGCACCGCCCCCACCCCCCACCCTCCACCGCAAGCGGTCGCGTCACGATTTGCGCTGGCGCCGTGTGGGAACTGGCCAATCCCAAGCATTCCCAGACGGTGTTGGCGCGAAACGTGACGTGACCGACACTCTCCCCCCCCCCGCCCGGTCACGCCCGTGCTCGGCAGGGGGCCAAAAAACTATCCTCTTTCGGGGAGACGTAAGGACTCGGGCTCGGGGAACTCCGGTTTGCCTGACGGGGCCGCCGCCAGGCAAATGGCGAGACACAATCAGAAATTCGGCGCGAGCTCCCGCTGCATAAAAATCCCACCGGAACTGGACCGTCCGATCATCCAGGACGGGCTCGTCACCAAAAGCCAGCACACCCGAGCCCGAGCGAGCCCGAGTCACAACCCTTGATGTCGAGCGTGCACAAGACCCAGACCGACGTCATGATTTCTTCATAACGCCGATCCTCAGAAATCTCGACCCATTTCCCGGGGCCCGCTTTCGAATTCTGAGGGCCCCGAACGGCCGCTATAAGGGCCTCCAGGGGGCCGAAGATACGGAAAACCTCCCGTCACGATTTTTTCATTACCCGAGGGAGTCTGGGGAGGGGAGGAGGGGAGGAGGAGGAGGAGAAGGAGAGGGGCCGACGGGCTCCTCCTCCTCCTCCTCCTCCTCCTCCGCCTCCTCCTCCTCCTCCTGCTCCTCCTCCTCCTCCTCCTCCTCCTGCTCCTCCTCCTCCTCCGCCTCCGCCTCCTCCTCCTCCTCCTCCTCCTCCTCCTTTTCCTCCTTTTCCTCCTCCTCCTCCCTCTCCCGAGGGGGTCTGGGGAGGGAAGGCCAGGGAGAGGGGCGGGGGCTCCTGAGATCGGGGCGCTGCAATTTGTTCGTGCCACGCGCGCGTTCGCCCGGCTGCGGGCCAAAAGGGCCGTCACGGAGCGACCCGGCTCGCACACACAGACACACGCACCGCACGCACGCACACGCACACGCACACGCACCACGCACACGCGCACGGCACACGCACCGCACGCACCACACGCACACGCACACGCACACGCACCACACGCACACGCACACACACACATACACACACACACACACACACACACACACACGCGCGCGCACGCGCACGCGCACGCGCACGCGCACGCGCACGCGCACGCGCACGCGCACGCGCACGCGCGCACACACACACATATACACAGGTGGGGTGCAGGGCCCGGTGGGCAGCCCGCAAGAGGAGGGCGAGGAAGAGGGGGAGTGTAGCAGGTCAGCTGATTTTATCGAACAGGTTTTGTTTAAGGGTTCTTAGCATGTGTCTGACCGTATCGACACGTTGGCTCAAGGGAAAAGTACTTACTGCCACTGCTGCTGCCACAGTTGGTAGCGGAGCCTGGTGAGGCTCGGGCGCCATGGGTGGCGACGGGCGGCCCTGATCGGCCCGGCCCAGTCGCTGCTGGAGAGCCCCGGGCCACTCCAGGCTCGCGCCGGCTGGCGGCGCGGGACGCGGGAGTATGCCCGACGACGGAGACGACGATGACAAGAAGGACCAGGACGCGGTCTACACGGATCTGTCAGGAGCAGCATCTGGTGGACCGCCGGCAGTGACCCTCTCGGCTCAGCAGCTGAGGGACCTGGTGGCTGGCGTAGTCAGGGAGACTATGAGCGCGGCGCCGACGGCGACGGCTGCGAGTACGGGCGCAGCAGCGGCGGCGGCAGCGGCAGCCCCAGGTCCCGAGGGTCGGGATGAGCCCGAGTGGGACCCCTGGCGAAGCCAGGCAAGGAGCAGTTCGGCAGCAGCAGCAGCAGGCTGGACGGCCAGGGGCCCCGACGACTGGAACGACAAGTGGAAGGACTACCAGAAGGATGACGACGGCGACGACAAGAAGAAGGACTACCCGGCTGACGCCTGGAAGAACGACGGCTGGCACGACAGGGGCTCGTGGCAGTCATGGAGAGACTCGACGTCGAGCTGGTACGGCAAAGGCGACTACAGCGACCCACCCCAGTGGCCTGGGTGGAGTCACTATCGACCTTGGCGCAAGGCGCTGAGGCGGTGGAATACCAATACTGATGTACCGACGTGGCGACGATGTGAGAAATTCTTGCGCCTCTTTGACTGGACAATGCAGGCGCACTTCGACAACATTCCGGAGAAGGTCCTCACCAGCGACGACTGGCTCGAGGCGGTCCTCAAGAAGATGGACCTCATGATCGGCGAGCGCGAGGGCGACGACGTGCGACGTACCGGGAGGAAGGCCCTCTACGAGGCCTCGAGAGAGCAGAAGGAGTCCCTCACCCAATATGTGGCGAGAAGAGAGTCCCAGTTCCTCGAAGCTGAAGCTCATGACCTGACGCTCTCCTCCAAGATCAAAGGTTTTCTCTTGGAAGAGGGGTCCGGTCTCACAGCGCAGGGAATGCAAAATCTTCGGACGCTTACCCTTGGACGGTTGGATTTCGAGAGCGTGAGCTGGGCGCTCAGACAAATGGACGCCTCCAGCTCCGAGCGGATGCTTCCTGGCAGTAGGACGAACTCTTTGCTGGCGGCCGCCCAGGCCGAAGAGCCGGGCGACGCCCCAGGCACTCTCCCTCACTCCTCCTACCCGGTGGGTCAGTCGGAGGTCGGTGACCATTCGGACCAAGACGACGGGGAGGACTTCGGCGATGAGGACGAGGACTACTACGACGACGGCGAGGAGGAGGCAGCCATTTTGGCAGAGCTCGAGGACCTCGACCTCGAAGAGGACCAGGTGTCGGAGGCGCTGGCGATGTTCGACAAGAGGCCGAACACCAGGACGTGGAAGCAAAACAAGGACCTGAAGCGCGCTGCGAAGAACGACCGGGGCTACTTCGGCCGACCCAGGTCGGGCGGGGCCCCGCCACCACCTCGCCCTCCTCGAGGAGACGCCCGTGGCGGGCGCGGCCGAGGAGGCCGCGACAGGACCGGCGCGCGGGGCAGCGGCGGTGGCAGGCGCCCCAAGCTGACCCCCGAGCAGCTCATGAAAGTGACGAGATGCGGCATATGCAAGCAAAAAGGGCACTGGCATCGTGAATGTCCGGAGAAGGACAACCCCAAGTTCAAGCAGCAGGGCCAGCAGAGGCGCCTGGCGGCCTACACCTTCATCGGCTGCGACCTGAGCGAGCCGATCACCTCGGACATGATCAACGGCTGGAAGATCGTGAACCAGGAGATCCAGAGTGACGATGACGCAACGCTGGTGTACCTGTCCGGCAGCGCTGCCACCCAGGCCTTGGTGGACCCAGGCGCTGGTGGCGATCTCGTCGGCCTCACCTCTCTCAACCGCGAGTCGAAGGCTCTCGCGGCCGTCGGCCTCTGCTTCGAGGCCATCCCGAGGCAGGCCCAGAGGCCTCGGGCGGCGCACGGAGTAGGAGGTGCAGCACAGGTTCTAGGCACGATTCTGTTTCCGCTCTGTCTAGGCTCTTCTCTTGGCATAGTGGAAACCACGGTGCTGGCAGACGACGTTCCCCATATTTTGAGCGTCAACCTTCTCGAGTTTCTCGAGTGCGTGATCGATTTGCCCGAGAATTCGATGTCCTCAGGCTTCCTTGGGACGGTGATCCCGCTCACCAGGCTCGGCTCAGGTCACAGAATGGCCGAGGTGGTGCGGCCTCTCCCGATGCCTCTGGAGATACCCGAGAGAGCTCTGAATAAGTACACGTTCTTGAGCAAGAATTCGTTTACCTTAGGCGACCGGTCGCCTCCTGAGATGCTGGCTTCAGGAGAAGTGCGTTACTACATCCTCCTCTGCCTCTTCCTCATCACTGTCGTGACAGGTCTCGTGAGGGCCGTGAGGGGGCAGATACGGTCTTCGGGAAGCACCAGCATCAGATTCGGC